ATGTAACGAGTCTTAAAGTCGAGTCTTAGCTGGACAAGTTCTATCGGTACAAAGTCGAACAAAAAATATCAGAGGCGGCTTACGGCTGTTAGCATGCCTCCAGTAATTTTTGGCAAAATTTGAGAACAAGAAAACACGAGAAAACAGAAACTGAATTTTACTAAATGACCGAACGCCTGGCCACAGGCGAAAGAACTTATACGAGCAGAAAAAGCAATGCATTCTTCTGCCCGGCAAAACGAGCGAGTGAAGTTTTTCCAACTCTTATCCAGCCTTGAAGGCAAAGCACGTTGCGCACAATTTTTCCCGCCAAAAAAAGCGCCGCGTGTACAGAGAAACACATCGGTGATCGCGAGGGCGAATTTCCTTTTTTAAGAAATTGACAATGTAAAACAACAGCACTTAAAAAAACAACAAACCATTACCTTGAAGGAATTAAACGTAAACGGGACCGCATCATAAGAACACCCTCCAAACTCTGACAAAGTCCTTGTCACCGTGCACGAAACGCAGGGCGCTTCAAACTTGGAGGAAAACATCGCCAAAAAGTTCGTTACAACGAAGAAAAGCACCGTAGAAGATAGTGCCTTGTTGTCGTTGCAAAAGCTAACGATTTTCCGCATCGAAATGAGTTTGGTCTCCATAGTGAAATTCTCGTGGTGGCAGTGAAAGCAGAGAGCGGCCCACTTGTACTTAGAATTTTTTTTTCAAGCAAATAAGAACTACAAACTCCACATATATAGCACGTTTTCCGACATGACGCAATAGACACTCGAATATAGAACTATGCAGTAAGTAGCTTTTGTGCGATGCCGAAGAAAGATAAGAAGTAGAATAACTCTTACACTATTGTGTTGTCGTTTGAAGCGAATATCTGGCATCCGCTAAAAGATTCAAAGTTAATTTTAGAACAGTTAAATAGCGGTTTGACACAAAGTTTTTAAGAGCTTTATTATTTTGGACCTTGTATGTAAATCTTTACCCCACCTAGCGACATTCCACCATCAAATGAATACCAGCAAAACAGCAAGAATATTTTTGATAACCGCCGAAGACTAGCAGAGGTGACAATATCAGACGTTTTAGAGATTTGATGCGACGCCAATCGATTTGAATCTTGAACAGCCGCCAGCCAGTTGACTTGTGAAAGGAAATGGCTTTTTCGCCTCAATGGGTTTCACAACAGCGGCAATTTGGTGTTTCATCAAGTCAATATCCCCAGCTGATGATTTCCGCTATTCTCATCGCCTTTTTATCGGAAAATCTATCGATATGGGAACGAGAAAATAGATCTTCATCATGCTTTGAGGCCATAATGGCGACCCAGGCGAATAGCTTAACGCCACTCCGCGATCGGGGAGCCTCCGGTGATTGGCTTACTTGAGTAACGTTCCATATTAGGCATTCTGAACATGTTTCAGGGTCGGTAGGGAAATTCCAACATTGGCTACACTTGAAAACGTTTCAAATGTTGAGGTTAAAAAGAGATTTGACGTTTTAAGATAAAGCAACGCCTTAAATTTAAGACGGAGATGATTTCGTCCACTCATACCGGCTAGGCTGGAGAGAGTCCATCAAGAGAACTAGGGCAGAACTTGGAACACAAGCTAAAGCCACACTCAAGTGAGCCAGACTCAAATGAGCCAGTTCCTTGTTTGCTATACATGCAGTTGCTCTCCCACCGCCCACCAACTAAACGCTTCGCAATGGCACATGCAACTAGTTTGATAGATCAGTTTGATAGATTAGTATAGATCAGTTAAAAGTATACTCTGTAGAAGTAAAGCTTGGTAAAAATATGAGATATTGGTGAACAGCATGGTTTTTTTTTTTTTTTCGGAAACGTTTGTGTACCAGACTGATATTGTTGCTGAGGTGTATTCGATCGAGTATCTCGCCACCATTAACCGTTGGTTTCCATTAGAGTCGAAAAGAGGGAATTATTATTGGTTTGAAGATTGCACTCAAGATTTTCTTAAAGTAGCCAAATATTGGCAATATCCCTCCCTGCATAATTTAGTTCTTTGTCGAATATTACACCGCATAAGTTGTCTTCAGAAGAAACAAAACCTAAAAATAACTTGGGTTCAAAAAGAAGCCAAGGGCAGCTAAACTACTGATTGTATCTGCTGAACCAAAGACATCACAATTAATATCGGAACTAACTTAGTTATTTATCTTGCACCTTTTACAACTTGTTTGTTTTTCCTTGCAGAAATCAAAACAATTTTGGAGAAAAGAATTTTGGAGCTACTTCAGGCATATAACCACAATAATCAGTCTATAATTTCATCCCAGAGGCCATCGAGTAAGGCTTCAGTCGAGTTACATCCCAGACTGCACCCATGCTGTAAATTGAAAACCACTGAGGAGTATTTCC